ATTGTACTAAATTTCTAATAAAACATGTTGGATGTGTTCAATTATTAAATTCACCAACTCGCCCGCTTTTACTTAAACCAGTTTATCATGTCCCATATATTACTTATAATTTACTTTCTATTCAAAAATTATGTGCGCACAATCATTGTCATATTGTTTTCAATAAAAACTCTGTTTTTGTTAAGGACAATCGGACAAGGGCAGATGTACTCCGAGCCTCCTGTAAAGATGGTGTCTATTGCATTACCATTTGCTTCCAAGTTGCCCTTCTCACTTAGCATTCATCCGATTTTTTCTTGCATCGCTGATTAATTAGTGCAGTGTAGTGATGCAGTTTTACTTTCACTTCGGAAGACAAATTCTATTATATTACTTTTTCTGATAAAACATAAAACTTGTCCAGTTATTTTTCTTGTCGTTTGAGCAAGTCCCACATATCACCTTTCAAGGATAATGTTTATCATTTTGACAAACCTTTACAATTAGTGCACTCTGATGTGTGGCAATCTCATGTCTGGAAGTAGGAAAACGTCAATTAGATCTCCCCTAATTTAGATTTTATGGAGTATGTATTATGTTTCTTTTATGGATGATTTTTCTACATTTATTTGGATATATCCCATGCGTAACAAGTCTGAGGTTGTCCATCATTTCAAACGTTTTCAGAACCCTGGACATTGTAAAAAGTGATATATAGATTAACCATCATAATTATCACTATACTCCTTATAATATCCCATGCGTAACAAGTCTGAGGTTGTCCATCATTTCAAACGTTTTCAGAACCCTGGACATTGTAAAAAGTGATATATAGATTAACCATCATAATTATCACTATACTCCTTATAATATAAGATGGTAATATGGTACTAATTGGTTACCATCTTCTTTGGATAAGATAAATTGGGGATGAAAGGATATTTATTTGGTAATTTTATATTGATTAGTGTATCTCTACCAATTATAATGCATGTACTCTAGAATATATATCATGCATGGACTGTAATATAATTCTTTATCACGGTTTAATTTTTATATACAATATGTATATACACATTAAAATGCAATGAATTACTTTCAAAAATAAATTGATTTATGTTGTTATTCATGCAATCCATGGATCGATTGACTAATATAAATAAGTTCGCCACATTTTTGTTAATTTCCCCTACTTTACATATTCTATTACTTTTATTCTTCTTCTAATTCTTCATCTTTTCTTTCATAAGTTTTCTACATATCTACTAGCATAATTTTTCTTAATGAATTGTGATTATATATCGGGCTTCTGTTGTTGACCGTTGTGTGGACCGGCCGAAGCCTATCCTTTGGTTCTCCCCGGAGTACTCTAACTGAACCTTGAGTTTTAGGTTCCTTGATTGATCGACCAATCACTATTTAATTATTTTCATAATTAATTATAATAATCATAATAAAAATAATAAAAACTATAATAGATGTATTAATAATAGGAGTAATATACAATAATATACTACCTCCGTCCCAAATTGATTTGCAAATTTGACTTTTTTTTGTCAAACAATTTCATTTTATTCGCTTAATTAGGATGTCAAATTTTAATTATATTCTAATTTGGAGTTTACAACTTGGAAGAGATTTTAATGTAGTTTCTGAATATATAAATTTTAATGAGTAAATTTCGTAATTGAGACTAAAACAATGGAAAATTGCAAAGTTAGGACTACCGTGTTTATTTGGCCTTCTTTAGGACTAAAATACAGTAGTTGGACAAAATTAACCTTGCACAAGTGTAGAAGCGTGCATCCAAAGTTCAAGGAGTTCAGGGTTTGCCGCCAATGTCGCCTCCTCCACCCCCATCAAATCTTCAGCCATCGCCACCCTCCATCAAATCTGCAGCCACCACCACTCGTCGAATTCACTGCTATCATTCTCCGACAAGGCTCTGTCCTCCAGTAAGTTTGTGCAGACCTCCAGGGGGGAATGACATCTTAAAAAACAAAAATGACATAATAATGCCACTTTTGTATTAAAAACATGACATTTCCAAATGTAAATTATGATAATATCATATTAAAATTATGGAAGATTTAGAAGCTGTTCTCTTCGCCTGATCTGAATGTTTCTGATCTGAATTTTTTAAGTTCTGATCTGATCTGATCTGAATTTTTCTGATCTGATCTGATCTGATCTGAATCTTTCTGATCTGATCTGATCTGATCTGAATCTTTCTGATCTGATCTGAATCTTTCTGATCTGGTCTGATCTGATCTGAATGTTTCTGATCTGATCTGAATGTTTCTGATCTGATCTGAATATTTCTATAATTATAATTATAATTATAATTATAATTATAATTATAATTATAATTATAATTATAATTATAATTATAATTATAATTATAATTATAATTATAATTATAATTATAATTATAATTATAATTATAATTATAATTATAATTATAATTATAATTATAATTATAATTATAATTATAATTATAATTATAATTATAATTATAATTATAATTATAATTATAATTATAATTATAATTATAATTATAATTATAATTATTATAATTGCAATTACAAATATAATAATTATAATTATAATTATTATAATTGCAATTACAAATATAATTTAAATAAAATTATAATTATAATCGTAACTATAAAAATAATAATAATAATAATTAAAAGTAAATTTAAAATGAAAAAAATTTATACTTATTACACTAATTATAAATATAGATATAATTATAATTGTAATTATATTTTTAATTATAATTACTTATATAATTATAATTGTAATTATAATTACAATATTTATCTCTATAATTGTAACTATAGTTATCAATATTATTATAATTACTCCGTAAAATAATTACAATAGTAATAATAATAATAATATTAATAATTATAATCATAAATTATAATTATAAGTATAATTATAATTATTATAATTATAATTAATAATAATTATAATTATATTAACTTTAATTATAATATTATAATATAATAATAGTAATATTAATACAATTAATATTATAATAATGATATTATTATATTCATATTATTATTACAATAATATAATAATAATATGATTATTATTATTACAATAATATAATAATAATATGATTATAATTATTATTATCAGTATTATATTATTATAATATTATATTATAATGATAATGATAATGATAATGATAATGATAATGATAATGATAATGATAATGATAATGATAATGATAATGATAATGATAATGATAATGATAATGATAATGATAATGATAATGATAATGATAATGATAATGATAATGATAATGATAATGATAATGATAATGATAATGATAATGATAATGATAATGATAATGATAATGATAATGATAATGATAATGATAATGATAATGATAATGATAATGATAATGATAATGATAATGATAATGATAATGATAATGATAATGATAATGATAATGATAATGATAATGATAATGATAATGATAATGATAATGATAATGATAATGATAATGATAATGATAATAATAATCATGTTTGAACTTTTCTGATCTGATCTGATCTGATCTGAATGTTTCTGATCTGGTCTGATCTGATCTGAATCTTTCTGATCTGATCTGAATCTTTCTGATCTGATCTGATCTGATCTGAATCTTTCTGATCTGATCTGATCTGATCTGAATTTTTCTGATCTGATCTGATCTGATCTGAATTTTTCTGATCTGATCTGATCTGATCTGAATAAAATAAGAATAAGCAATAAGTAATAAGAATAAGACGAACAGAACAGCACCTTAATTGGAAAATGTAAAATATGGGAAAAAAGAAAAAAGAAAAATCAATAATAAAATGTCATCTTTAAAGAAAGAGTTTGCTATAAAAATGACATCATTTTAAAAAACATGTCAAAAAGCATGTCATTTTTAATAACAAGCAGTTATGTCATTCTCAGATAAGCCATAAAAATGACATAAAATGCCATAAGAATGAAATTTTCCTATGGACATATGACATTTTCAGATTGTTGTCTTGATGAATGTACTGCCACAAACGTGGTAGTTTTTTCAAATAACCAATAATTTTGACATTCTCAAATTATAAAAGTGACATTTTGATAAATAAATAAATAAAATTTCAAATCCAAAAAATCCAAATTGATAAAATTCAAATCCAAAAAATTCAAAGAAGAGGAGAACAATGGACAATAAATTTAAAGAGGATTTGAAAATTGCTGCAGCTTTGTTTTAATTTCTCATCCAAAATTTTCTAATCTAAAAAAAAATTAGAATCAGAAAGTGGGTTGAAAATTAAAAAATCAAAATCAAAATGAAATACAGTACGAGCAAGAAGAAAAGAGAAAAGAAGAAAGATAAGAGAAGAGGAGGAGGAGGAGGAGGAGGAGGAGGAGGAGGAGGAGGAGGAGGAGGAGGAGGAGGAGGAGGAGGAGGAGGAGGAGGAGGAGGAGGAGGAGGAGGAGGAGGAGGAGGAGGAGGAGGAGGAGGAGGAGGAGGAGGAGGAGGAGGAGGAGGAGGAGGAGGAGGAGGAGGAGGAGGAGGAGGAGGAGGAGGAGGAGGAGGAGGAGGAGGAGGAGGAGGAGGAGGAGGAGGAGGAGGAGGAGGAGGAGGAGGAGGAGGAGGAGGAGGAGGAGGAGGAGGAGGAGGAGGAGGAGGAGGAGGAGGAGGAGGAGGAGGAGGAGGAGGAGGAGGAGGAGGAGGAGGAGGAGGAGGAGGAGGAGGAGGAGGAGGAGGAGGAGGAGGAGGAGGAGGAGGAGGAGGAGGAGGAGGAGGAGGAGGAGGAGGAGGAGGAGGAGGAGGAGGAGGAGGAGGAGGAGGAGGAGGAGGAGGAGGAGGAGGAGGAGGAGGAGGAGGAGGAGGAGGAGGAGGAGGAGGAGGAGGAGGAGGAGGAGGAGGAGGAGGAGGAGGAGGAGAAGAAGAAGAAGAAGAAGAAGAAGAAGAAGAAGAAGAAGAAGAAGAAGAAGAAGAAGAAGAAGAAGAAGAAGAAGAAGAGAAAAAGAAGGGAAAAGAGATACAATAAATTACTCGTGCTCGCCGGGGATCGGAAAGACTAGCGGTGGCAATGATTGAGCATCGACGAGCGGCGGCTATGGTAGTGGTATCGACAAGCGCACTGCAGCTTTGGAAGCAAAGAAATCGCCATGGATCTTTCTTCATAGGAGACGGCATCTGCATCTCGGCGTAGGTAATCGGTCACATCTTCTGGTGTTTGATGAGTTTAATTAAATGAAGGGTAGAATGGTAATCTAGAGTCCTATTTGGGGTATAATAAACTTATGGTCCTATTTTGGAGTTTTGACTATGTTTTAATCCTATTTTTGATAATTTCTTTTATCTCCGGCCTGTTATATACATTCTCAACTTTGTGCTAAATGTGAATTAAAAAAAAAGTAAAAAATGTGTGATTGAAGTTATCAGAGAGAAAAATAAATTAAATCCAAAATTCATCACTTAAAACTAAAGTGGCTAATTTTTTTTATTGGACAAACATAAAAGTAATCATTTTTACTTGTTTTTCCCCTCATTTATCAATTAAATCCAAAATTCATCAATTAAATCCAAAATTCATCACTTAAAACATTTTAGTCCCCTCATTTATTTTTTCTTGTTTTCTTTTAATCCTTTTATCCGTATATATATAAACATTATTTTTATCCTTTTTATTTTATCATTTTTAAGTATGTTCATCTCTTTTTATACTATATTTTTCATAATAGCTTATCTTTTTTATCTTTATTTTCTTTCTTTTCCTTTTGGTGGTGATATCATGTATCAATTCATGTTAGCCGACCCCAATATCTTTTGGGACTAAGACTTGGATGTTGTTGTTGTATACACAAAAGTAAACTTGCGAGTTTTTGCAAGTATGACATATATCCTTGCAAAAAAATTGTACAAGGTTGAGTTTGGGTTGTTGTCCTGAACTTTGGCACATATCTTTCAGTTGTGGTCAAAAGAAGTGTGCAAGCCAACTCTTAAAGCCCAAAAATGCAAGCATAGGACTCTAGGCACATAAATGTTCTACTCTTTCCGTAACATTCATATCTTCTCACTTTTCTTTTTTCGGCCATGACATTCATATGTTTTCATTTCTAAATCTTCTCATCATATCCTCTAAAATTTTGTAAATAATGCACTATTACAACTACTTTTTGGATTTGTCCTTCATTTCAGTACATTATTTCATTATTTTCTCATCATACCCTCAACAAATTATATCTCATTTCACTATTCTTAATCTCACCTACTTTTAAACGGGAAAATATGAATGTTACTGTAGTATATCATGAGAACATAGTTGCTTGATGGGTACTAAATAATGTTTAACGTAAGATATGTGAAATCTTCCCATCTCTTCACGCTATACATTTCATTTACGTTTTTTATTGTTGACACTTCAAAAGTTAGATCTCAAATCTCATACGTCATACCCATTTTCACTTCTTAAGAGTTTATTTTTATTTGATTCAAAATATGTACGACCAGGTCCAGCCGACAAAATTGAAGTATAGTACAACACTACAACAGACCACCCTCATATGGATGGGCAAATGGAGGTGGTAAATCGGTGTGTCAAAACCTACTTGAGATGCATGACAGGGAGTAAGCCTAAATAGTTGCCCAAATGGCTTCCTTGGGCAGAATATTGGTACACCACCAATTTCCATTCTGCACTCAAAATCACTCCTTAGAGGGCCCCATATGGGAAAATCCTCTGGCAGTAAAACAAGGAAGATGTCACCCTAACCGCCATTGAAGTAGTGACTAAACTTACGACTGAGAGAAACTTAATGATAGCTAAACTGCAAGATTATTTATCCAAGGCTCAAAACCTAATGAAGAAACAACAGAATCAAAAAAGGAGGACTGAAAAGTTTGAAGTGGGAAACCAGGTTTATCTACAGATTCAAATTTACAAATGAAGGAGTCTGGCAAAAAACTCAATCAGAAACTAAACACCGGGTTTTATGGGCCCTTTGAAGTAGTAGAGAAAAAAAATCCAGTGGCATACAAGTTAAAACTTCCTGATCTGGTCTTCCACGTATCGCTTCTGAAGAGGGCATGGGCTCCCAATATTCGAAGTGAACCTCTTTCTGCATATTTGAATGAAGAATGGGGGTTGCAGGCGCAACGAGAGAAGATCAAAGATGGCAGAGTCAATGAAGCAGGAGAACATGAGATCTTGATTCACCAAAAGAGTTTACCAAAGTTCAAATATTTCTTGGAAGAGCTTCACAATTTCCAAAAAATCATCTTTGAATTCCACCTTGAGGACAAGGTGTTAATCAAAGGGGGGTGATGTTAGGACTTTGGGTGATTTCAATATTATTAATCTTGATGGGAATTTCTATGAAGTGTGTGTCAGGAGGGCTAGGGATGAAAAGGGGAAATGGGGTATAACTAATTAGCTAAGAAGGGGGTGAGAGGAGATAGGTTGGTATTCAGTTTGGACTTGTAGAGCGCGGCACTCTCAAATTGCATGGACTTATTCCCTTTTCCTAGGCATGTCAACAGGTTGGATACGAGCCGGATATATAAATTCCATATCCATATCTGTTGAAAAAAAATTGGTCCAGATCCGGACCCATTTACCCTTTAGGTCCTAAACATATGTTCCAGATTAGGATCCGGTGGGTCTCGGATCCGGGTGGGGTATACCCACAAAAATAAAACTAAATGACATATGCAAACAAATACGTAGTATAATATATAACAAAAAATGTTCATGTTGGAAGAGATCATATATAAATAAGCAAAATGTTGTTCTATCCATTACTCCGTATGAACTATACAATAATATACGGAGTTATATATATATATTAGTGAACTCTTAGAGACCTAGAGCACTAACTCATTAGCAAAAATCCCATTATAGTGGGCCAACCACTAACTAAGCCTACAAATAGTAAAACATTGTTGTTTATTTGATTATTTTTCTTACTTTATGTTTAAATATTTGTACATATATTGTGTGTGTATGTAAAAAATTATGACTATAATTATATAATCACGGGTCGGGTCTAAAACGGGCCGGAATTTAAAAATCCATATCCGACCCATTTTCTCTATCATGTACCGGGTTCGGATCCGGGAAACGGTTCTAAATTTAGACCCATACCCTCAAATAAAATGCCGGATTCGGATCAGGTCCGGGTCTAGACCCGACCCATTGACAAGCCTACCTTTTCCGATTGCTTTTTCTCTGTTCTTATCGGTGAATAAGAGATCTCTTATCCTATTCCATTCATATTACCTTGTTATTATCGTGGAAATTCGTGTGTTCTATCATCATCCTATCACATATTCCTATTTATTACAAATCATTTAAAAATGAGATAAATGGATTAACAGCTCATCCAGTTCAGCACCCAAGATTTAATCTTGACAAACCGCAAAGCATATTATGTTCAAATTTAACATCAGTTTAAGCAAAATGATCATAGAAACAGATAGTAAACTTAAGGATAAGCCAAATACACAAAACATGAGATCTTTAGTAGTATTGTCTCATTTATTGTGTTCAAATAACACGATCACATGGAAAGTATTACCCTGTAAAATTTGTTAACGGTGTAGTATAATAGAAACTCAAATAGACATTTGATTGTAAAAGAGGATGGTGCAAAATTAAAGTGAAAAAAACTCATCACGACATGGGTCACGGGAAAAAATCCCATATCAGAAATCAAAATTTTTGTTTACGTGGTATGAACCCCCCACCAGCTCTCGTTTTTTTCGAGCCCTCTTATCACCATTCATTGGCCTGAACAACCTTTTCACTTCAATTTCTGCTTGGAGGGCAGATTTCAGCTGTTTTAAATGCAAAAAACATTGACCATGGCGACAAACACAAGCTGTCTGGGTAACAACAACCTGTGGATCCTCGGGAACAAATTTCCTTTGATATGGAGACGACCCCCACTTTGCTTGAAGGTAAGCATAGGATCTCCATGGAGGAATCGGCATTGAGTTCTGCTTGAGAGAAGATTTGGCAGCTTCAACCATGACTTCAAGGAACTGCTTGAGTTTCGGTACCGGGCCCACATAGACGATTGGGAGAGAACTCAGGATTCTGTCATACGACTGGACTGCTCTCGCGATTTCAAAGTGGCTGCGAAAGTCGATGTCAATGATCAAACGCTCTGAGCCTCCAGCTTCATCGTACTTGATAACATCTATGTATTCATGATCCCCTAAATCATATAGAAAGGGCCAGTTAGATTATCCAGATAATACGGAGTATATAGCAGTTTAGTTCTTCAAACTAGTTATAGAAAGATGTTCTCAAAAAAATTCAGGCTGCTTCGCCAGATAGGTGAATTTTGAGTGGCGATGTTCTCACACCTCCCATACAAATTCTCACCGCTGTACAACTTTTTTTCCTTATTTTCATGGCCATGTAATGTTTTTCATCAATCTTTTCGTTGAAAATGTTTTCGAATTTTCCTATATTGGAAGAGATCAACAAAAGAACGTGTTTGGGAATCGGAAATGACTTCTCATTGTGAGGCAATTCTCCTTCAGTAGAGTTTTATGTTTTCTATTATGTGGATTCAAGTCATTCAACTTAATATTATACATAGAACATTTTATACCAAAGGTACAACCCTTTAAAGCTTCAACTCACACTGCACCGGTTTAGCAAACAGACCCTTACTCTGTTGATACCCCAAAATATCATCACTCTAAAAGTAAAGGCAAATCAAGAGCATTATAAAAGAGGGTGCGTACCTGCAGGAACCTTGCCATTGCCAAGCCACTTCGAAGAACAAACACCAGAATCATAGCCCAAAAGCCTCAAGAGCTTCACAAGAGAATATTTGATGCAGCTAGAATTGCAAGGGCCTGGCTTTACAGCATGGAGGTCTGTTTCTTTCATTGATGTCAAAAGTGAACTCACTATAGACAGCAGCTTGCTCTCATACTGATCCACCGCCTTCTTGATGTACTGCACAGAAAAGAAAAATGGATGCAGTGAGATTTTGTTTAATATGTAGATGTATTATAGTTCGCTTACATGAACTAACATTAATATCTAATTTTTTCTATATTCTTTGGGAAAAGGTTGTGAATTGATTGGAGACGTAAACAACATCTTCTACATATTAATTTATTATTTTATCCAAACTGGGGGTGGACAACTTGAGGGTATGGAAAAACTTTGGTAACCTATTAAGTCTTGAAGTTTATATACAAAGGTTAATCAGATCGAAGATGTATCCAAGAATCTCATATATGATATATGTATATATAATATTACTTTATTATTTACAGTGATTTTATTTGTTAAAACTGCAATTTCTTTGTTTTTTACTATCGATATACGTAGTATTAGACATAAGTTACAATAAACTACGTATACAAGTTTTAGTATACTTAAAAATAGGTAAGTTACAGGTAGGATGCCATGGCACCAACTGGCACTTATCTGGCAGCCCATGACTACCTACTTGTTTGTAGGACCATGAGCCTGCATAGATTTCTGAATCTATCATAAAATATCGCCAAAAACAGGTTGGCTAGGAATCTGGTGAAAAAAATTTAATCAAAAAAGGAAGGGGTAAAAGAGCATTGAGTTTGTTTATCAGTTTCAATTCAACCTTCCATAAATGCTGAATTCAGCATTCATATGTTGAATTCCTATTAAAAGTGGAAAACTATTGCAGCAGAACATTCCCATGCCAAAATGGCAGAAGTCAAGTCAAATATGAGAACCAATCAATCTAAAGACTCAAACAAGAGTCTATTAGGGGGAAATTATATAAGCTACTCCGTATATCATTTCCTCCAACCAAGACTTGAACATAAGGCATGTTTGGATCCCCAAAAATGGTAGGGGAAGAGGGGAATGTTATTACCCTACGACAGGGGAAGGAAATTAAAGCATGATTAATGCTAGGTCATTTTTCATAAGCTTTGCGTAATACAAAAGAAAAAAACCAGCATATATTCATTGAGTTTAAGCATTTATTTTATTTGATTCGGAATTTCCCATCATGCCGTCTATTTTAGAGTACACGTTTTGTTTCCTACGTAGTAATATTTGTGTGATCCAAACAAAACCAAAAGGTTTCACATTGTAATCGACCAGTTTTAGATTTGAGGCGGTTTATTGTCTCTCCATTACAGCTGACTAATGAAGATTGGATGGTTGGACAATCCCACATGACCATTGGGTTGTTGGATCGCAGTAGTCTCAGTCGTACGGCTGGTGTTAGGACAAGAACATGTTACTTGTTCTGAAGCTTACGGCTAATCCAATTCCAAATTTAGACCATCATTTACCTAATGTGAAGGTGTTAGGGGTTTTAAAATTTCAAACTTGAACGCGTTTGCAGCTAGGTACGGAATAATAAGAAGAAATCATTCACTCAAAACATAACAAGGAGATTAACTGCGTAAATAATAAGCAAAAGAATTCAATTCAAAAGGAAAAGTTCTTAATAAGGATGATGATGAGAAAAATTACTGACGGATAACTTGTCGGCAAGGTGAGCGAGATCGGAGAAGGTGGAATCGCTGTCGCTGCTACTCCTGGAATCCGCACCTAGGCTTCCATTTTCCAGAAAATCTCTCACCATCGCAGCCAAATCATTTTCGCTGTCGTGGCTGAATCCATCCGCCACCGGCGCCAAACCTCCTACATCACCACCACTTGCTCCGCCGCGGCCGGCCAGTTTCAACCACGGGTCCCCTGGCGAAGCACAAACCCCACAGTCCATTGCAATACCAGCCTACCAAAATTTTCTCTGTTTCCCCTCTCCAGAATGAATTCAATATATTTCCAGCGAATTCAATAATTCAAAATTCAAAAACAAAAAAAGTTAGAAACCTAAAATATCTTCCAGAATTTCGATCCCGAACGAACAACTTGACAAAAGTTGCGCTTCAGGATTTCCACGGATCAATATCGGCTCAATCGAATTCGAAGTATCGAAGAAAATCTAAAACGTGGAACAATTCAATCATTAGGCTCTCCGAAGCCCTAGTTTCTAGATAGAAGGGAATCAAATTTGCTGAATTGCGCCTCGGAATGAATGGAAGGTACCAATCGAGACATAAAGACCTGATTACAAACAAAAATAGCTGATCAATTGCAGCTGGGGTGAGTGAAACGAGGAAATGGTGATTGAGAAAACGAGAAAAGCATGAATGATCCGGAGGGGTGAGACGAAAAAAGGGAAGACTTCTGATTTCTGCAACTCCCAGAGGATGAAGAGGATGGGGAGGGAGAAGAGTTCAAATAGAAAATGAGACGGGCATGGGTGAAGGGACGAAAATGTCCTTTTGTCTTTTGCGTACTCAGAAAGAAAACTCGACGCTTTTCACGGGGTCCTCGGGGAAAGATCGTGCCGCGGATAAAGTTACTGTGAAAAACCTCTCTGACAACAGAATTTAAGTCTATAGGCTACAGCTTTACACACACGAATATGGAATAACTTTAAGATAAGTACTCCGTGTTTTTTTATTACCACCCTCCCTAATTATTCTTCTCATTTCAAATGACCCACTTATTAATAAAATAAAATTCTTCCGACTTTTTTATGAGTTTCAAGATTTATTCAAAATTTTGTGTTAATCACGTATTTTATTTTTACCCTAATTTTCTACTAAGGTACATAATTAAATTATTATGTATAAAATATTACGGAGTATTAATTTTTTATTAACGTGAACTTCCAAAATACGGAGTATTACATTTTATAATGTTCACTAATACAACGTATGTAATTAAATATAATTACGATCAAAATTGTGTGTAATCAAATGTGTGGTCAAACTATTTCAATTAAAAAATGTACTCCCTCTGTCCCGCTATGATTGTCCCATTTTACCATTTCGGTCCGTCCCACTAAGATTGTCTGATACATTCTTTGGTAAATTGTGTGTGATTCTATATCATTCCTACTTTGTTCTTACTTTATCAATTCAATATCAACCACATAAACCCATTTTATAGTTTTATTAATAATCGTGCTACCTTCTCTTGTCTCAAACTTAGGGGGACAGACGTACCAGTAAATAATTGATTTGTGTAAGGTTGGGTGTAGTCCCTGATCACAATTCGCATATTATGATAACCTGTTATAGACGTATAGTTGGTGTAATTTGAGATTGTTAGGTAGGGATACGTGATACAGTGAGACTGATTTGCATAAAACCATTTAGTAGTGTCATGTTTTGAAATGGGATGTTACCACATCATATCCCATTTACGAGATCACCGATATAAGTCCAGAACGGTATCCGGGGCCGAGGTTGACCCTCATCCGGGTTGGTGACAATTCCAGTAAAATGAATTTAGACTTGAAGTAACGGGGTTACTTTGAGCCTCAACCAATAGTTAGTTGCCAATTTTTTATGATTGTATGTCGTATTATTTGCTTCATCAAACATTCAAACTTATTAGACCCTCTGGCCAACTTGATATGTGTGGCTTTGAGAAATTTTCAATGATATTATACTCCCTCCGTCCCAGAATTAACTTCGGTTTTGACTGGGCACGTATATTAAGAAAGTGGGAAATGTGTGGTTGAGAGTTGTGCAGAGGAAAGAGAAATGTGTAAGAATGGTTGTGAACCACAAATCCTTTGCTAAAAAAGGAAAGAGGAGATAAATTTGGGACGGACCAAAAAGGAAAGAATGAAGATAATTATGGGACTAGTATTGTACCCATTATTAGAGTTGACGTGCAGATTTTGTTCTGTAACTTACAAATCTATTCAATTTAATGATTTTTCAAATCACAAATTACACTTTCCGGCAAGACATATTGGGAAACAGGTCACCATGTCTTGTAATTTTGTGCAAGTAAACCTTTCAGGGAGACTTATTTATTAGATAGCTTATTTATTAGATAGCTTATACCATTTGTAGTGGTTAGGAAGCTAAAAAGTTAAAAATGAATTTTGTCCATATAAAAACAGTGTTTAGACTCTTATTCCTTACATCCTATCACCGTCAATAAAATACACTCAGCATATTTTTTCACATATCAATTTAGTAAAACATTAGTTAAATCCTTATAAGTAATAGTTTCAATTTACTTTTTTCCCTAAATAATTATGAAATAAAAATACATATTTCGATGTAAAAATAAATAAATTTCATTAATTTTTTTTTACGTTTTTAGGTTAACAAAAAATGAATTTAGTCCAAGTAAAGTTTTATTATGGAATATTCAGTTATGTGTAGAGGCTCCATGAATTAAAAATTTGTGTTTTGTATTTTTTCAGGCTCAAGAAAATTCAAATAGTTAAAACATAAGATTTTTTCATTTTATATATTACATGTTGGTATCATATGAAAGATAATAAAAATTCATAATTTTTGATATATATTTTGAAAAATTTGGAGAACAAATAAAAAAGTTATAAAAGTTTTAAAAAATTTGGGATTAGAATGTTGCAGGGATGACATCATCCTCACATCCATACAATGCATTCCCAAATTTATCTCCTCAAAATTCCCTGTTTCTTTTCTTTTTCTTTTTTCCACTCCTACCAATCCACCCTCTATTTCTAACACCCTCCTCCGTCCCCTCTTCCATTTTCAATACCCTGTTTAGCCTACCACTACATAAAATTAGGAGTTCAAAAGTTTCATCTTTAACATTTTGGACTTCTAATACTACACCATACCAAATGGCCTTCAAGGACCAAATGTTAAAGTGAGTAAAGTCACATGACTAAAAGCAAGCACAACAAAAAATTATAGATAATTCTATAATGTTCCCATTTGGTTCTTTGTGTCCTTCCCGGTATGCATTAGACCATTTGTAATGGTGGAGAGTCCAAAATGTTAAAAATGTACCACGTCAATATAAAAACAATGTTTAGACTCCTATATTTTCTTGCATTCCAGAACTGTCACAAAAATACACTCAACATATTTATTTACATTCAAATTTAGTAAACTATTAAATAAATTATTAAAAGTAACTTTTTCAATTTAATTTTTCACCTGAATAATTGTGAAATAAAAAATACACATTTTCGATTTAAAAATAAATAAATTTCATTAATTTGTTAACTTTTTTCGTTTTTTTACTCCAGGGGGTCTAGGGGAGGGGGGCCTGGAGTAATTGAGCTGAAACTCACTTCATTGAGTTTCGAACCCATATGTGTCAAGCGGGTTTCGAACTCAAGACTTCCCACTAGGCACGGTAACATCACAACCAGCTGGGCTGGAATGCTTGGTTACGTTTTTCGTTTCACAAAAGATGAACTTAGTTCAAGTAAACTTTGATTATGGAATATTCAAATATTTGTGAAGGCTCCATGAATTAAAAATTTGTGTTTCGTGTTTTTTTTCTCAAAAACACTTCAAATATTTTTTCCATTTTATATACTAATATTACATATAGGTGTCATATGAAAGATCATAAAAATTCATGATTTTTGATAAAAGTTTTGAAAAAATTAGAGAATAAATAAAAAAAAGTTACAAGAGTTAAAAAGAGGGATAATTTGAGTTTGCACCCCATATTATTGTTCAAATTAGACTTTGCACCCCGTTTTTAAAAGACTTTGTTTTTGCACCCCAACTACATATGAAAATACAAAAAAATTCCTTGATCAGAAATATGTTGAAGGCCAACAAAATTGTTAATGGAGGGGCATTTCTGTCTTTTCATATGGGATTGACGTGCAAAAACAAAGATTTTTAAAAATGGGGTGCAAAGTCCAATTTTAACAATAATATGGGGTCCAAACTCAAATTATCCCTTAAAAAATGGGATTATAGTGATGCAGGGATGACGTCATCTCTACTTTCTTCCTTCCGCTTTTTTTCTTTTTCCTTTTCTTTCCCCCTGTCATATCACTCCCTAAACTATTAAGTAGTGTCAAAGTTGTAATAAATCTAAAATAAAAATAGAAACAATTAAAAAATAAGTATATAAATAGAAAAATATAAATATGAAACATGAGATTGATTTTAGACTTTATATTCATACATTATATCTATGTTTTTAGATTAGTACATTATTTAAGGCTTCATTTTTATTTTAATATTTTGTTTTATGTTGTTATATTTATCAAGTCATAGGTTTTGAATTAATACATACGAAATACGTAGTATAAAATAGAAATTTATAATACTTTAAAAATAATTCATAGAGCAAAAAATCGTAAAGGTTCAAATCGGAAATATTTTGTATAACTTAAAGTACAGATATGTTTTTTTTATCTAATACAAAATAAAATAAATAGGAATAAATGTTAAAAACTATTGAAATATAAAATACAAATGTAAGAACACAACTAAAACTCTTAATAAAAAATTCCCTTTTATACATATCGGGAAGGCTAAAGAAAAAAGAAATAATTACATAAATATGACCAAAATAAAGATGATTTACAAAATATGATTCATTACTAGAGTAGTAATGAAATCATAGTAATTTATGTTCAAGTTTTGAACTTTAGTTACCACAGCACTACGTTGTAGTAATGAATAGTCATATTTATGTAAATGAGTTTTATTTTAATAATATTCTCGTAAAAAACCCAAAAAAAAACCGTAAATACAAACAAAATATAGCAAATGTTCTTAAGTGAGGATGTCGTTATTTACATCTCAAAATAGGACTCATGTACACCTAGTTAGAATTAAAAAGTCGTATTTGAAAAGAAAACATACTAGTATTTCAGAATTTTTAAACCTAAATATTTAATACTACGTACTCCCTTCGTCCCTTATAACTTTGCCAACTTTCCTTTTTTGGATCTCTCATTAACCTTGTCACTTTCCATTTTAAGTAAAGAATTTGTGGTTCGAGCTAATTATCTTTTCTCTGCACAAACCTCTACCACACAGTTTTTACTTTATTAATCTCCGTGCCAGTCAAACTTGACAAAGTTATTATGGACGGAGTGAGTATAACATAACATATTAAAAAATAAAAAAACAAAAACAAAAATAACCAATATAAAATATAAATAAAATAAAAAATGAAAAATGAAATTTAATGTAGAAAATGAAAGGGTTACAAAAATTAAGAGTATGTCAAAATATACATATATTATCTTTTAATCTTTTTTAAATTATTATATTCATATTTTAAACTAACCAAGAAATTAAATATCTGAACCACATATGCTTAAACTTTATCTTTATTAATAATTATTATTTATTTATTTGTTTATTTATTTATTTATTTATATATTTATTTATTTATTTATTTATTTTGAATGTATCCCTGTATTGAACCATTTTTTAGAGTTGAGGGGGTTATTTGAGCAATTG